TGTCTCAAACTCAATCGATTTTTCAATTGTACAAAAATAAGTAGACTTTGACCACTGATAGTTTACTGCATTATAACTTACCTTTCCTTTATTTTACTGTATTTTTTAAACTACAGCAAAAATAAAAAGTGATGTTAACACAGTTTTGACCAGGAAAACAAGCATTTAGACCATAGTACAATAGCTGGTCGCGAAGACTTACGAGAAAATTGCACATGGCTACAAGTACTGAGTTAATATTAAGTTTGAACCTTTCTGTTCGCTGTTCACATTTGGAAGGTTCATTATTATTATTTTTTTTGTAATGTACTTTCTGTTTTTTTTTTTATTATTTAATCATTTAAATTAGGGACCAATATTAACGAAAAATACACAATTGCGAACACATTTAAATTAAGCATCACAACTAAACATCACTTACACACACACACACACACCTATACAAACTTGTCCCTACTAAAAAAAAAAATAAAAAAATATTAACAAATAAAAACAACAAACAGCGCATACATACACGAAAACACGAAATTTAGTGAGCAAAAACAAAAACATTCTCTAAATCAACAGAACTCATTGCAGAAAGGTGCACTGCCTTATCGGGTGCGTGCACACAGTTATCGACCACCACAACATCATTTTCACTTCCACCTCAGTCCTATGAAGTGGACGCACCGCAGCCGCTTGTCGATCGCAAGCCATCCATATCTCTATTAAGATGGAACAGTAGTGTTAGAGTACGGAATGAACAGGTTGCCACGGTGCTATCGAATGCAGCTGCAACAACGACGGCCCGCTTTCATGCTGCCAGGCAAGGTTTGAATTTCCGTTTCCATTTCCATTTTCGTTTAATACGACTGACTAAAATAAAAAAAGTAAAAAAATTTAAATTAAACATTATTAAATATGAGTAAACTTTTCTTTTTTTTTAATTAATTAAAATCGCAGTAATTTAAGTACACTTTTTCTTAATTACCAAAAGCCATTGCTGCAAAACTAATTCCACAGCATAGTTGTTACAAAATCAAAAATATTAAAAATCGTTTGTGTGTGTTGCGTTACGCTAAAATAATTTGCCTACACTTTCCCTACTTCCCACCAATGCTATCTCCCAACGCTCAAGCTTCCTTTCCCATTCATTTTCCTCCCCACTTTTTCCCATGCCTAACACTGTAGCGAAAGTAAGAAAGTAAAATAGCGAAGATTATTTCACACAGGGGAACAATGGCCGTCAAAAGGACGATGGAGAAAACTTTATATTCTTGCGAAGTAAAGTGGTTTCTTTCGTTATTACTGATTAATTCTGAAGAATGTGTAAAATGGCCTTGGCCTTAATGCTTTTTCACTGAATGACCTTGAAAAATAAATTGAGAGTTTTTATGGTGAAAGTTTGACATCGAATTATGCAAATGAAGGAATATATTTTCTTCTATGTCGAAACTACGAAGTACATACTTACGTTTCTTGATAATGTGGTTTACGGTCTATAACTCTGCGATGTGTTGCTTTGTGATTTACTGCTTTTAAAGTATAAATTTTTGGAATCACTTTTATGCTTTCGAAAAATAAGCATTAATTAATTTTTCCCCTGTGCTGTTTAATCAAACTAACTTTATAAAATGGCACAATATTTAACTGCTTAATATTATTATTAATTCAATACTGCAGTAGTATTAAAAAAAATGTCAAATGGTTTTCCGAAACCAGCAACGCTAAAGGAGTAAGAGCACAAAGTATCAATACTACAGTCTTTTTTAAAAGAGAAAGTTTGATTTTTCAATCAAATTGGAATTTTTTTTGTATCTATGTTGGTAGTGTACAGACCATTAACGTGGTATAGATAACCAGGCGTAGTGAATACTTGCGCGTGAGACGAGCTTGCAAGGTGGTTACTGAACTGTGCTCAGTTGAGTCTGCGCATGTTGCAGGCTTCCCCTGTACTCGTGTAAAAACCAACTCAATTTATTTTCATTGAATTTACCTCAAAAAACGATGGGCGAAGGAACGAACCTACTTCGTTACTAAGCAAATCTAGTCAAGTATCAACGATAAAAGATCTAAAACTCTCATACGAATTGATCGCCTATTATTAGCGCAGTAGTCGGTATCATTAAAGGGCACTGCGTCGTAAGCGAATGGATTAGAAACGAGCTGGATGGTTCAGAGCACTATCTTTTCCATTGCCTCATTCTGGCAGGGTTACGATCTATAATCTTTAATAAATATCACTTTCAGTGTTAAACGGATCTCAACTTCGCGATTTTAAGGTAATACGGGGGTTCCATCACGCGAAAAACTGAAGGAATGGAACAATTGAGAAAGCTTTTTGCAACTTCGCGTCCTATAAATCACCTGGGCTCGATAGCATCCTACCTTTCAGAAAACATTGGGCCTAATTATTCCAAGATTAAAAGAGCAGGCTCGCCTATGTATATGCCATAGTAAAGGGCGCAGGTAGGAGAAGTAAATCTTCGAACTCCAAACCACAGGATTTCAGGCCGATAAGCCTCTCGTCTTTTTTAGTGAAGTCACTGTAGCACATAAAGAACAATCATATCAGTGCAATAGCGGTCCCGAACCTTTCGGTTGCTGCAACGCGCATGCAACAAGGGAAACGGTGTGGATACGGCCTTGTACTGCCTTATCTTTGACATCGAAAAACATGGCTTCACAAGTAATATGTATTATATATCTGTACCGCAAAGCCGCTACGGCCTTATATTTATGCAGCAGGGGGCCTGCTCTGTATTGCGATTAGAAGAGCAAATCATTGGGATTCGAATATTTGGCACTATATATTTGTATTAGTCCGTGTCGTCCTTCGAATCGAGTTGAGTATCAATCGCAAAACAGAGCATCCCCCAGGTCTATTCTAAAAAATGGACGTCTGGTGCCCAACATTTTAGCGTGGATATAAATACATTGCGATGGTAAGACAAATTTTTTCCTATTGGAGCATTGAAGTGCTCAACATGCTACTAAACTTTATAACAACGGGCCGTGAGTCCAAGTGAAACCCCCAGGGGATAGCCGTGCAACCTAAGTATCCTAACGTACAGAAAGCACCGTGCGTTAAAGCGGTGGTAATAGTGAGAACTTACGCTTCGTATGCTGTAAAATTCGGAGAACTGGATCTATGTATTTTTATTATTGTAAGAATACTCTCTCTTTGCTCACCACTAGCAGACAAGGGAGTCATTATCTCGCCTGGATCCGACTGCAATGCGGTATTGATTTTATCTGGGACAGAAAAAGTAAAGTGAGAAAATCAGTTCATCTGCCAGTTTCGCCAAATAATTGAATTTTTTGCTACCACAAGTGCTTCGCCATCTTGTAGTTAAAGTATGTGCAACTATAGTGAAGAATATCGTCTGGCTGCAGAGTAGAAAAACACACTTCGGACGTTTATGGCCTCCAGAGAACGACAAATATATTAGCGAAGCCCAGTCTACGAGAATCGTCGGCAGAAAAGCCTGAAATCTTTATGATTTCTGGCCGATATCGGTCAGAGAAGCTCGTAGAGAGGTTAACAGGAAGTCTAACAGATACATCGTGGGAAATTCTGACTTAATTACCGATGATTCTGGCGGATATCTAACAGATGTCTGACCAAAAAATCATGGGAAATAATAATTAAACGTGTCTGTCCGAAATTGGAGATAATTCGATCAGACATGTCGGAAAAGGAAATAAATAAACTTCTTCAGACAATTCGCCCAAAAATCTGTACGAAACCTGTACGAATTGTCTAAATAGTCAACTTTTTATTCAGACATTTGTGCGACTTTTCTGATATCTGAAATTGTCTGGCAATTGTACTAGCTGGGTCAACAGAGCTTTTAACTCCTGTCAACATTTAGTGAAAATGAGCATACGATGTTATGCATCTCAACCAGAGTGGTTCACTTTATTGCAGTGTTGGTAATTTAATAAGCACGCGTGCCAAAACTTTTAAAAGCGCTCCTCAGAAAAATAGCTTTCACTGGTCTTCCCTGCTATATTCGTGCGCGTGCTAAGCCTTTTTCAGCTTTTTATATATTTTATGTAGCCCAGTGATGACCAAAATATATCCCACGGGAGAAGCTTTTTAGCTCTAAAAGCTCTATCTCTGAGCCAGTGATGACCAAACAGATCTCGCAGGAAAAGCGCACTTAGCTCTAAAAGCTCCATGCTATCGTTATTTATATAAGCAGTCGGTGTAAGTCACAGTTGGCTACTTCACACGTACAATACGCCTGTCAAAAAAATAAAATCTCTCTGTGGCTAACACGATTTAAAGCATAGACAACCAGCATATATCCCGCAAAGAATGCTCATAAAGTAATCTATAGATTATATCGACGCCTCGACCATATTATACTAAGTCTGACTAAGTCTAAGTTGACTCAGCATGATATGGTTTGGATGCGTCAATATATGGGCTCTGACTGACTAAAAGCTCTCAGAAGCGAGTTGGCATTTCCCAAGCTTTAAGTCATGTTTTGATATGAAATAGCTGGAATTGGCCCACTTGTAATTGTTGTAGTTCCAAAGCATTTTCTATGAGACCGAGCCATCGCTTTGTAAATTTTTCGAACAAGATGAAGCTCTACGAAGGCTGAATTATTCGCGGAAATTGTAAAATTTCCACTTCAACCAAACGCTGTGCATTTAAAAAGTCAATTTAATGTCTAACTAATTCTAAAATGACACATATGATATATTTAGTACTTATATTTAATATTTTATAAAACTGTGAAAGCACCAGCGAAAGCTTTCAAAGCTTATTGCTTATATCTCATTTGTGAAATTCTTTTAACAGGAGCCTTACGTGCGCATAACTCTTAATAACGAAATAGTTCTAAAAGCTCGCCAAAGCTTTGTAAATCTTCTAACAACAAGCTTTATAAAGCTTTGGGCTAACTATGTTTCTAAAAAAGTTGTCTAACTGTTATACTAATGAAATGAAAAAATTTTCTTTGCAATAATTAATCACCCTTACTTTTTCAATTAAATTTTTCCAGCGAATTTTGGTGCCGACAATACGGCTGGCACATCGGGTGCTGTGCGCTCCGAACCGATTTCGTTGTCAGCGCTGGATCGTGACTGCTTTATTATACCGGTACATAGTGTCAGTCGCTTTCTGCCAGCGGGTATACCGGTGAGTCAATTAGCATGATGGATGTAGCGTAACTCAGTTTTCAGTACTCAATTCAAACTCTTTCGTGTTATTTAGTTACCCGCACCATCGGCCGATGGTAAAACCAATAGTCCACTCAGTATACTCGAGGTTTCCGATCCGAAGCTATGTATACTCGTACATTTGATGAGCCCATTGGAACCCATCGATCCAATGCTGGAATCACCATTAGCACATCCATTGCTGAAGCAACGCGCCGTTGCAGCGGAACTCGTATCGGAGGTGCAGCAGGCGAATACGGCGGTGGGTGGCATGCTCTTGGCCAATATGGAGAAAAACGGTAAGTAAGGACTTGAAGGTAATTTAGTTATTAAGCAGTAAATGTTTAATTATATTTGGTTTTCTCCACAGCGGACTTCCCATTCATCTCTTACTATTTAATTAACACTACACAAACGGATCCATCGAACTTTTACTCGGGCATACGCGTTTCATCCCTGTCGAAATTCGAGCCGAAAGCACTAAAGTAAGTTTGCAAATCCAATCTCTATGTTTATGTTCTGGAGTTGTAAGGCTTTTTCGGAACTAAATTCTTGCATTTTTCAAACACCCCGTTTTAACTATGGGAGATAGGCGCGGTAATTGACCAAATTGCTGGCCAATAATCAACTTAATGTTAGCTCTGTTCAAAAGGTGTATATGGGTGTTTTGGTACAAATTGACGGGGTTCACACTAGATGTGTTTGATTTGTTTAAAATTTATAGGGTTGATGCATAAACATATGTAAATAATAAATAAATATGAAATTTTAGCTTGATTAATTTTTAAAAACGTTACAGCACAAAAACAAGAACAAATCGATTTAATAGTTTTCCAAATAAATTTTTCGAGAACGGGGCGAGGAAATAATTTGAAAAATATCACACTTACACACATCAAAATTCTCTATGAAAAGAAATATTTTAACATTTTTTTTCTTTACAAAAAAAATAGTTTTTGAAAATATGCCATCTCAAAAAAAATTTAAAAAATCACAATGTTAGCTCTGAGTATTGGCATCCCCGCAAAACTAGAACGGCTGTGTAAAATTACGTTGAGCAATCCACCAGCTCCGTCAGAATAAGGAAGGACCTCCCCGAGCCGTTTGATACCAAACGAGGTTTCAGACAAGGTGACTCCCTTTCGTGTGATTTCTGTAATCTGATGTTGAAGAAGATAATAAGCTCCGCATAACTGAACCACTCAGGCACAATTCTTTACAAGAGCGTACAATTGCTGGCGTATGCCGACGACATCGATATTATCGGTAAAAACAAGGGCTACGTCTGTTCTGCCTTCTTGGGAATGGATAGAGAAGCAAAGCGAATGGGTCTGGTGGTGAACGAGGACAAAACGAAGTATCTCCTGTCATCACACAAACAGTCAGAGCATACGCGTCTTGGCACCCACGTCACTGTTGACAGTTACAAGTTTGAAAAAGAAACCGACTTCGATTAAACGAGTTGATAAGTTGGAGTGATATGAGGTGCAAACACTCCAGAATTTTAAAAGATATTCCAGCAGACTTCAGGCGCTTGGACCACACAGTCTGGCCAGCTGGACTGAGGAATCAATCATTTCCAAACAAGAATCCCCTGAAGAGGTGAATGGCAGGAGGATTCGTTCCTGAACTCGTACTCTCTTTCAGCAGCCATCTACACTTATGACTCCCAGTTTAATCTGAAGGTGGGGAAGTGGGGAATACTCCGAAGAACTCTCACTTAAGCTAAGTTTTTTTCTGCCGGATATCTGCAGCGTTTTTCACGCTGAACTAACAGTTATCAACGAAGCTACAAGATGGCCAGTCGATTCTCTTATTAATCTGATGCAGTAGCTTTTTTTCTGGTAACTATGGTAACTAGGCAGCTATGAAGTAATCATGGAATTTAGACTTAATTCAAGTGGGCTGGCAAGGATTTGCGTCACTCATGTTGTATACCCAGTCCTTAAACTGTGTTGCGGATAAACTAGCAAGGAAAAGCATCTTACTGTCTATAATCAGTACCGCTCGTAATACGGGCATACAGCGATCTTTCTGCAAACTCTGGCTGGAGAATAACTTTATCGAGCCGGCAAATACGAAATGGTCTGCGAAGCTTACGTGCATAATAACAACACATATCTGGCTTAGTTGGATAAAAGTAATTTCGTCTTCTTGTCCGCTTGGAGATTTCACCGGGCACTGCTCAATGGGAACCCACGCTATTAGAACGAGTATGAAGTCAAACGATTACTGCAGTAATTGCCGTGATGTGAAATAAATCGAAAGGTTAGAGTAATACCTGTGCCACTACCCCGCCTTTTGGAGGGCTCATCGACGCTCGTTTTTCCTTTATTATTTTGAATGGCCGGCTGAACTGGATCCTGTGAGGATCTTCGGTTTCATGTACTTCATCAGAGTTTCAAATGGGTTTTGCTTCTAAAGTAAGAGGAGGGACGCATGGAGTCTCTAATATGCCATCAAACTGTGCCCATTTTGGCCTAAGTGTGCCCTATTCCCGTGCTGACTAAGGGCAGCCAAGATAACCTAACCTGGTCGTACAAAAATCACATCCCATAAGTCCCTCATCATGCCAGTGCTGTATAATGACAACTTCCGATGAGACGGCTCTTGTAGTATGCGAAGACCTATAGATATGTATATATTGGACACAAACACTCCAACCATGAAAGTATTCAACACAGTACCCTCTGGCGGGTGTAGGGCAAGAGGAAGTTTTTTCCCTAGGATGGAAATACCTGATGGAGTTGGTATTTCCGCTGGGCATCAGTTGGCACAAAACACAAAACGACTGGCATGTTTTATTACATTCGGTCAGGTTCGATTAGTTGCTTAAAGCGGTACACATGAAGAACAACCCGAAAACGCACTTACTTTAACCGATGCATAGATAGAGGGAGATACTATCGCTTCACATTGTTGGAAAATCCTTGTTAAGTAAGAGCATTGATAAAGCTCTATATAGCTGCGTCCGAAATCGTTCGTTGGATATACCACCCTCTTACCACGTTTGCCCTTAAAATTGTGTTAACTCTATTGACCCTTGCTTCTTCGATCAAGAACAAAATATTTGGGTTTTTTGCAACTCAAGATACACAAGGAAATTATGAAACTGAACGTCTAAAACTGCCTAAATAATATTTAATCTCATTGCAAATACATTTTCATTATAATAGATGATACAACCCCTGTCTGCCCTCGTTTGTAACTTGTCTGTCGTAATATCTGTAATATTTAGATCTGTAAATATTAGCGCAAAGTACACTGTGTTCTACTTACAGTTCAATATAGTCCATTTAGCCAATATTATTCATAAATGCATACATACAGACTTACAAAATCCCTGCATTGTGCTGACTTAATAATAGAGCCTTGCATTTTCAATATATTTTTATTCATTTATTTTTCTTAATTTTTTTTGTAGATATACTGCCGCGCACACTCTAGACTTGTACAGCGAAGTGGCTGCCATATGCCGTCCGCCTTTGGTATTGGCGTCCAATGAAAATGGTAGTTTCAAGAAGACACAAACGCCAGCAACAGGCTACATAATCAGTGTGTTTAAGGTAGGTACAATATATAAGTACAATAGCGAAGGGAATATGTATGTGTGTGGGCGTCTAAATACAGTAACCCAACAGGAACACCGTTAATTACCAAAAGCCCTTTTTAAACTAACTAAAACAAGTTTCTAAAACCATGAAAATATTGAAACTTTTGCATAATGCAATTTTTAGAAAGTTCTAAATATTTGCTAGTCCTTTGGTCTCCAATTTTTCTTCTTCGTCTTATTTGTCAGTATAACCTTTTTCGGTTTGAGCGTAAACCAAACAATTTCGCTAATTGCCTTTAAGTGGTGTTAGTAGATTTTTCTATGTATTTTTCTATCAAAAAAGGCCAGAAAGTGCTTTTTACAAAGTTGCAGAAATAACATTCGGAAGTAAAAATTGCAAGGTGAAACTGCTAGTGATGGGCATGGGACTAAATATTCAATCCCGATCCCGAATTTTCGGAGCTTGCAAGTTTTATCGGAAATTTCGGGAAAGGATTTTGGTCCCGTCCCGCTCGCAAAATTGTTAAAGACCTTCCCGATACCGCCCATCCCGGCCATTTTGAAATCAGTGCCGTGGGTGCCGCGGGTCCCGATATCCCGTGCCCATCTCTAGTAACTGCAACTGAAATTACGCAAATCCCTTGCAAGAAATTATTTCAACCTGCTTGTGTTGCACTAGAAATTTTTGCCGTATCACGCGGTTTTTGGCGAATTTTTATAACATTATAAAAATGTGGCATCACTTATAAAAAAATATTTGTAATGTAATAAATTTATTCTCCTAATATGAGCTATTTAAATATTAAAGCATTAGACATTTTCTGGCTCTTCTCTGCGCATTTTAGCATTTTTAACAAATTTTTCAGATCAGTAATTTTTTTAACATTTTCTGCCATCCATGTAAATAGGCCAAGTATCTGAAAGTTCGATTTTCACCGTTGTTTCAGTCCATCCGTGGTGTGTTTGAAGTGCCTCTCAGTTGGGCTGAAGTTGGGTACACAGGATCTCGTTTATAAACAAAAGTAGCGCATTTTCTTACAGGGTATAATACACATTGCCACAGATTTCCTGACTTGGATGTAGTTATGTATATGTACATATGTACTTGATTCTAAAATTTTTAAAGAATGTGAAACTGAATTACTTGTTGACGTTGATTGGTTATTTTCAACGGAAAATTACGCTGAAGATGTACAAATGCTGAAACCTAATTTGGCAGGAGTGGGCACGAATTTTCTTCAAATTACATACACATGTACATACATATTTCCGACTCAATTTCTTATACATTATTACTTTCTTTAATATTCACGTACTTTAAATATTTTTTTTTTATCGAACTATACTTTGTGTTTCAGGTTTTTGAAGGTGATGATGGTGAACGCTTCGAGAAAAATTGGTTGTACTGGACGGGAGCACGAATGCTATATCGGTGAGTGAAAAATTGATATTTTAGTTAGGGAAATTAATAAGTTATTTAGTGATATACAGTACCCTGGTTAAGTGACTACCGCCTAAATGATTCCTCCGAACGAACTGTACAATTGAGAGAACCCAGATCATTTGGTTTCCCATATTTCGGCTTTAGGCATAAATTATAGGGGTGGTAGCATTAAAATTCCGACTTTACTTTTTTTTTTACCACCCTAATATAAATATGTATGTACCTAGTTGCAGTACACATATTAAATGCAAATTAACCTTATTAATATTCAGAAGTCAAATATGTAGATGTTTCGAATAAACATAAAATTAACATAATTTCTCTCTTTTTCCACTCCCAAAAAGTTATCTGCCGCGCGCCGCTGGTCTACGTCGCATCGCACTGCACAAAAGTACTTCGCAACGAGGTGATAAAATGTATTTGCTGGTGTGCGAATGTGCTGACCTGCTCAAGGATATCTCTTCAGCTGCCTTTTTGATTCCTGCACTGCGAGCACGCCTCTGCGGCTACACAGGACTTTACAAGCCAATACAAGTATTCTAAGTAAATAAATAACAACAATAAAATATTAACAAAGAGGAGTATAAGGTGAATTTGAGACGCAAAGACAAAAAATGTAAACAGCCGCATGTGAATAATAAATAAAATATACAGTACGACGAAAAGTAGAAACAAACAATTCTCGCGAATTAAATTTAAAAAAAACTGTTATATTATATATAGAACACGAAATTAAAAGGCAAAAGTTTGCACTAAATTGAGCGAAAATTAGCAATAAAAACGCCAAATCTACAAAATGAAGTACACACTAACCCGAGGAACACCATGATTATAGCAAAAGTGAAAATTAATAGAAAAAAATGTAGTTTATAAGTAACAGTAATAGTAAATTAGCACCAAATCCATGGCAACAATGAACTGTTTGAATGAGAAAAGTTGGCAATAAAGGTACTGTTAAAAGCATATTTTTGTATACCAAATAACTGTGCAATTATAAAATTTAAAATTAATAGGAAAAACTAATACGCGAAATTCTATGCATACAAATTTAAATTAATAATTCCTACAGTAGATATGTAGGTACTTAAAAATTTTTTATCGGCTTGAGCAAACCCTAATACATAAATATGATAAAATATTATCAATATACATAAATAAATAAAATGAATAAAACTACGGCTTTAGCAAACAATTAATGAACAATTTCATTATACTTATTAGATTAGAATTTAAGCACTGAAAGTGATATAAATATTTTATTATTCATATGAAATGAAATTTTTTCAATTGCAAAAAAAGTGTACAAATTTGGAAATCTTATATTTCCCGTATGCCTAAATACTCAATGGGAACTGCGTAGATGAAAAACAGGTGGGCAGAAATTAGTTTAAGTTATATGAAATATGTGTTTACCTTCACTGAACTTCCTTTTTTATTGCTTACTATCGAATTTCGAATTAATATGTTATAGAAATTTTAGTGCAGAATTATTATTATTTTAATTTTATTTTGATTATTTTTATTTTTATTTTATTTTATTTTATATTAGGACCTATCATTATTTTATTTTATTTCGTTGTATTTTATTTTATTTTACTGTATTTTATTTTATTTTATTTTATTTTATTTTATTTTATTTTATTTTATTTTATTTATTTTATTTTATTTTATTTTATTTTATTTTATTTTACACTAGTCTTGGCCGCGATAAAAAGTTTGCAAATCACCACAAACGATTTTTTTTTCAGTTGAAGCGTAACAATAAATTTATAAACTGAAAAGTTCAACCCACACAGAACACAATGCTTTTTAGAAAAAAAACATCGTAACCAAAATGGCATCCCAAACAAAATGGCGGATCATAGAGTTTAAATAGTCATATTATGCTTATTTCAAAAAATTATTTAAAAAGTCAGTGCATTGTATGCAGAGTACCAATATGAGTATCAAACAAAAGAGAAAATGAGGTGAAGAATACCTTTTTTTGTGCATAAAGACTAATAAGTATCGAAAAAATTCTTCTAAAATTGTATTCTAGAATATCCTTGAAAATTTGAAATAGTTATTTTTGAAAAAATTATATGCTAACTTTTTTAACTAAAAATAAATAAAATTAATTAAAAGAGCATTTTCAGTACCCATTCGTCCTCATGAACCAAAAAACTTTATTTTTATTCCACAATGCAAGGAATGTTTTAAATATTTTTTGAATTTATCATATCTTTAAAATTCTGAAGTCCTTTTTAAAAGAAATCTAGATTTCAGAGAGCAAAACTTAAAACGAAGTTTTGGTATATTTTAGGCCATAGTTTCACAACAAAACAATTAATTTATTTCACTTTTTTTTAAGTTTCATGTTTCAATCTGGATTTTACTGTAAAAGTGCTCTAGTTTTAGCTCAAAGATTTCGTTCTTATTTTTCGTGAATTTATTTTACTTTGTTCTATTGCACTGCATTTTAAATATTTTACGTAATTTTTTGTATAGTCTCTAATTACTCTTTTTATTTTATTTCCAATCTTTTTCGTGATTTTATTGTTGGCTTTATTTCGTTATTTATTAATTTATTTAATTTTTTATTTTTGAGAGTTTTGACGCAATGAATTTTTTAATGTAAACTTTAGTATTAATTTGAAATCTACTGAAGCTCCTATTATAACTTTACTTGCATTTAGTTTTAATAGATTTTTCTATTTTTATTTAGTTGTAAAAATTTTTCTGATACTTTATTTGGAATATGCTTTGCATTATTTTAACCAATATTCGCATGAATAATAAATTAAATATAATAAAAAATCTTAATTTTGTTCAGGCTTTTTAATATTTGCTTATGAAAGATCAGTTGATTTGCCTAAAGCAAAGTTTATTTAACACTAAATTTAAAATTAATTTATTGACCTCGGGCAATCAATTTAATTTATTTATTCATTGAATGTATATAAATATTAACTGATAAAAGCTCAGTTTTTAATCAATACATTTTGTAATTAACTGCTGTGATAACTCAGCCGCCTCTGAGGGTGAAAAATACCATGCACATAATTAAGTATGTACACATATGGGCGCATTTGTATATACCCGTACATTCATACACATGTGTATATGTACTTTTTATGTTTAAACAAATGTTTAAGGAACAACAACCATTTAGTTTTATATAAATACATATTGTATATTAACTGCCACAGTGGGATGAGAATGATGCTGCAGAAGGAAATCAGTATGATTAATGGTGCTCATAAATCTGAAGTGCATACATACATATGCCAAAAGTAAGGTATTTATGAATATAAATATGTATAAAATAAAAATGCTTAAAAAACAAACAATTTAAAAAGATATTTCACAAAGGAAAATGGAAATGTTGTGAAGAGAAGAAAATCATTTGAGCGAGTTTACATATGCGCATTTCAGTTTTGGCCAGGAGTAAAATTTTATATTAACCGGCAGAATTCAATTTTATTTTGAGGGCGAAGAGTTTTCCGTTGGGTAAGGTCATAACACACAAGTTTTGCTCTTTTTCTTGAAACAAAAAAAAAACTGAATATGTATCTATAATCTGGAATGATGTATGTAAACTCGTCTTTAAAGTCGTGAGACATGAAATTCCGTGGAGTCCAAAAAAATCGTAAAAAAATATGAAGCTTAAAGTCGAAAAATCGAACTCTAAAATAAAATCAGCAGCTAAGAATTAAGAATATGAAGAAAAAATATAAATTAAAAAATGCATTGGAAAAAATTAATTTAGACACCCTAAGCCTTTAAGGGCCAAATCCACAGTGCGCAGTTAACTACTGACAAGAGTTTAACTATCGATTTTGATATTCACAGTGCTCAATTAAAAAGAGTTTAAACCTGCATGCCCTGATAGTTAAACTCCTGTGAAATTAAAATTTGTTTGTGGAACCAATTTGTATATTTCCAGACGACATGAATTCCCATAGCTTATTATGTGACTGTAAATATAAATTCATAGTTAAACTCTTGTTGGTGGTTAAGTTAACAATGGTTTAACTCAGCACAGTGAATTCGGCCTTAAGTCTTGTAAACCCGAAATAAAAGGATCACAAGTCGACTATTTGCGACAAAATTAGGAATTAAGCCCAGATCACACGATTAGTATAAATTAATGAAAAACACATTTCTTTATTAAAAAAAAGTTTACAATTTTACTGCGATGTTACTCGCACCATAACAAATGTCTTAATGACCTACCATAACTCGAAGCAATTTGGCGAAACCTTGGTAAGTACGTGGCCGAAGTGTGGACGTAGTCCGTTGCTTTTGCTAGCCGCAATTTTCGACCCACTTCCCGATTAGCTAGAAACTTGAAACTTCAATCTTAGTGCAGAAACCGATGACAAGGCAATGTGCAAGATGAATTAATCCGCTAGGTGTAGGTGTCGAAATGTATGAAAACCCCGTATTTATTGACGGATATTTAGTACGTGTATTACTTAAATGGAAAGAAATACCTCCACAAAAGTTTAGCCGTTAGGCGGTGAGGGGGTCGATTTTTGTATTAACCTCTTTTTTGGACTTAAGTCAAAAGTTAGCCTACTTTTTATTCAGATTATTTGTTAAAATTTTTTAAAAGTTAAGTCCAGTTGGAGAAACCAGGCCTATTTGTTTACCTATTTTTCCCGCCGTCAGGGTGATGTAATCCCATAATGAATTCTTCCTTTCCATACACGTTTGTGCAAAAAACCCCTAACCAGGGGTGAAATGCAAAATTTAATATTTACAAAATGTTCGTCATTTTGTTTATATCGTGCGATAAAAACCAAAAAAATTTCGAAACACACGAAGCAATCAATATACATATTTATTCACGAAAGTATAGACAAAATATAGTAAAACCGAGTTCTGACATTATGATTTTTTGCAATGGATCCAAAGATATGGCTGCCTTAATATAAGTAAACGATTTGACTCAGTTTAAGGAAAACACAATACCTTAGTTTTCAGTACTATTTTATTTCTTCTTAGGAAAAATTAACTTGCCGTGAAAGGAATAAGTATGTGATTTTGCTCGCGGTGCACAAACAGTCGCAATGGAGTGCCAGTGGAGAGATGAAAGGTTCGAGTCCCATACCAGGATTTTTTTTTAAATATTTTTATTTAATTTTTCTATTATAATTGTAAATTGTATTTGAGTATTTGGGGTTTTCCATACTTGAAATTAAATTTACGATTTGTAATTTGTATTTGAATTGAAATAATTGACTTACTTACTCTGTCTACCTCCAACCGGACTGGAATCTGCGAACTCAGAACAAGAAGCAGTAGTTTTCACGCGACGCCACAGCCGACAATTAACTTCGTCTTAACAGCAGACAAAATTATTACTTATAGGGAATTTACATGATTCAACTTTCACAGGCGATTAGTTGAATAAAAAGTTGAACGAAAGTAGGCAGCCGACCAACTTCATTGAAAGCGATTAGTTGAAAGGCCGTTTACACCAGGCGATTGTTGCTTTCAACTAAAAGTTGCTTGGAAAATCGCCTCATGTAAATTCCCTATTGTATTGAGTAAATTTACTTCCTCAAATTAGTGACGCAGTTACTCTAAAATAAGGACACTGGTTTCTTGTTTTAAGGAAATGCTTGTTTCTGAGTGTAGTTTGAAATATATAATTAATTCCAAATTGTTTAAAGAGTTCAGTGCAATGTAGAATAACAATGTAGAATAACAATATGTAAAATTAAAAAAAATTTAAATTTTTTGGTGCACAAGGACGAATAGTTATCGGAAATATAATTTAGTTTTTTTAACTTATAAAGTTAGAATTTGGGAATTCGAGGATGTTGTCGAGTGTATATGAGTCCTTAACATATAATTTTTTTCGAAAAATAAGTGTTGTAAAATTTCAAAGATAAAATTTTTTCTATATATGCCCATGGTTTCGCGAATATATTAATTTCTCTGTGTGTAAAAATAGTTGTAGCACGGTATTTTAAAAAGCTTTGGATGGGCACAAGATGTTAAGGGAATAAATATGACTTCTTTTAAGGTAAGACGCGAGGGTCAAGTATTTACAAACATATTATATGACCAAGTGAAATCCAATACAAAAATTTTATTGTTTCGAGTATAAAAAATATGACAAAATTGACAAAATGTAGATAAAAAAATAATTTAAAAATAAAAAATAAAATATTTTTATTAAATTACATCAAATGGGCAAATTCTCATTAAGTTGAGCCCGGAACAATAAAAAACTAGCAAGAATACGTAATAAATAAATAAAAATGCTGTGATAAATAAAACAAAAATCAATTACGCAGTTATGCGAGCACCAGTGCTACACTCAGAGAAAAACCATTAAGCTACAATTTCTAATTAGGCAAATTACATTTAAACTAAAGCAAACGTAGAATACATACTAGAACTTAAAATAAATTTTTAACTTCAAATTGCAAATCAAAAAATAAATACAAGTAACGTGCTAAATAGTTTAACTAAATCTTAAGCCATACCAAATCATATTAAATTAAATAGTGGATTACAAAAGTTACAAATTTAGAAAAATAAATAAACAATAGAGAACGCAATCAAAGCAATATCATGATATGAAAACTTTTTTTAAATCGAAGATTAAGTAGAAATAAAAAAGTAAAATATTCCAACAATTTAAAAAATAAGATGATATCGCTTAAAAAGGGTTTAGCTTTAATGAAATTAGAACAAAAATATTTTCATGGCAAGTTGTTAAATCAAAAGGAGCATGAACTAGAATGCAAACATTTTACATATGCACGTATGACTATAGTATCCATGTACATTAGGGTGTATCGCTTAGGGCCAATTTCATAATGAAACACTTAAAGTTCCTTTTGCAAAAGTATCCTTTTAGTTAAAGTGTCATTTAAATGTTCTTTAAACAAGAAGTGTTTTCATAATGCAAAGGCAATTGAATAATAACAAAAGGTTCATTTAAATGGAAATATGTACCAAAGTTGGAAATGCTGATATCGGCAAAATTGCATCAGCTGATTGTTATAAATATGTAAAATTATAGCTACGAAAACTACTACTAACTACTTTTTTCTTACAAATAGGACCATTACGTAATTTAAATTTCCATTTTGGGTATTTAACTAAAGAGCCTTTATGGACACCTTCATCTTTAAAGTGGCTTTATGAAATCGATCAGCAAAATAAAGCACCCTTTAAATTTTAAAATATTCTTTAATTCTATTATAAAATCGGCCCGTAATTTTTCCGTTTCTGTTTTTAACGTAAAATAAGCCGTGCCATCTTGGAATTCAATCGTATACGCCTTAAATTAGGCACTCTTGAAGCATCTCGAAGATTTCCGTTGATTCCGATAATGTGCCACGTACCCAAGCTATTGTTATGGGACATCTCACGCGTCAACCACGTGGTCTATGATAGACCATCTATCCCCGCAATCTCATAATACGTAGCGTTGTGCTTTTCCTGCAGCAGAAAAGCACGGTGGCGCCTTAGCTCTCGCTGTTTTGGGAATCACCTTCCCGTTTGTATCCATAATTGGTCCCCAAACAAAAAACAAAACGAAAAGAAGGACATGCAAGAAAACAAGCGGTATTCTCAATACAATCTTAACCAAAAGTTCAACTTGAAGTCGGGTTATCATGGACCTACAGCAACAAAACTTTATATACATCCTACTTAGGCAAAAACAAAACATAGAGGTTAAGAAAATTACGTACGTACGTAAAAAAAAGTATTTCTCGTACACCCTAATGTACATGTGTTACACCTTTTTGACACGACATTTTGCTATAAATTTTCATTTTTTGTGGCCTTCTAAACATAAGTAGGAAGTTAAAAATGAAAGAAAAATTTAAATTCGAGTTCTGAAAGTGAAAGTTCATAACGTCCATTGCGTCCCCATCATTGTCAGCGTCGATTAATTGAACACATCTGGGGAGATTCTGTAACCAGTTAGCGACAATTTTCGGATTGCTATCGCACTTTTTGACGCATGATGTGAATATTTTTGCATCACCAAGTGCGAGAACTTTGTGAAAATTTGCTTTAAAATTCTTGACTCCCTAATTACCCCTTTTAGAAAGAAAAGTATGCCGTTTTGTAGCCCACTTTTCTTGACGGTCATGCATATTTTCTTCTACATACGCTGCATGTAAAAATTTAGCAACAAATTCAGTAAAATTGGTAATTCGAAAAAATGTAACCATTTCCTTAAGCAGGGCCAAAATTTATAAAGCTTCTGTTGAATGCTCATATATGTACATAGTTATCGTAATATAGAAAAATCGTATCTCCACTTTTTACGTATTTACGAAGTGTTTAGCTACTTGATAGCTTTTCGACAAATCTGGTTATTAAAACTGTTTTTTTATTTAATATAAAAATTAAGTATGTTATTATATTTATTTTTATTTGGATCTGGCATCTCTAGTAATCATAAACTCCTTGCCGAAATTGCTTTGACCTTTTGCACTTATTCTATTAGCTATTCTTTCCAGGGATGCCAACTCTTTTAAGGCGAATTTGGAGGAAATTACTGAAAAAATTCCCCTATTTTCTATGGTATTCCCCAAAAAAACGTTTACTATTTAAAGCACTTCATTGTTATTTGTATTAAAAAACCAAGTGATATCAATAATTATGAGATAATAAGGACAATCGTTTTTAATAATATATAAAACTATTACTTCTCAGTATATTTCGCAAAGCATATCTATAATATATGCATGCATATCAGGCATTATTCCTTCGAACTAAAATCAAATTGGTTTTATTTTTAAACAGTTGTTCTGTTTGTAAACTTGCCTCCAAAGTATCAATTCCAAGCCTATTTCTGATCGCAGTTTTTTTTTAATTATTTTGGAAACAATTTCTAAATACTTATTCATAAATACTTACTTTTAATTGACTGCTCAAAACTTTGCCGGACGTTAGCTTGGCACCGAAAGCGAAGTGAGAAATGATGGTGTTAAATATTTATAAAGGTAAAGTGAAAGTGAAAAGTGTCGTAAAGACAGATTGTTATTAGAAGATGTAATTTATTCTCCTAATAGCAATGTTCCACTAAGAATCGTTTCTATAATTAATTCCCCCATAATTTAATGCCATTCCCACGAAAAATTCAAATTTAACCAAATTGGCATCACTGATTCTTTTTTGATATTTAACATTTCTTTTTTGAGTAAATCTAAAAATGTTCACTAACATTCAAATATATTAACAGAACATAGAATAGTTGTCACTTGCCGCAAACTTATAAGCAAAGTTAAAAGTTGAGCTAATTTGTGCATCACTGTCTCCGTCAGCTTTGTTCAGCTAGCTTACTTCATACAAATACATCGATTCAACTTTTTTGGTAACTGCGGTGACGCTATGGACGTCACGCACTCTCACTTTTAGTCCTAAATTTAATATTAAATATAACAAAAAAGGTTCAACTTTTCTAACAAATATCTTTTCAAATTCAGAAAGTTTGAACAAAATCAAAACTGTTAATTAACTACATATAGTATGTTTGTATGTATAAAAGTGGTAAATAGATTTTCCAGTATATTTCAAATACATTTTTAGCTAAAACAATATCCAGACAAAATTTGACAAAAAAATAAGTGATTTGCAAGGTATCATAAATAGTCACATGTATTGTCATACATTTTGTAAAGGTTAAGTAGATTCATGGCAACCGCCAGACAGACAAATTCATGACTTTTATGATAATATGATTGTTATGACATCCTGTGAATCCCCTTATTTTTTGATTGCAAATAAGTTCTATAGCTTCATTGCTTATTGTAACTTAATGCCACGTCGAAATCTGTTTCATTTTGATTCTCTAAGTTCTACGTTCCGTTAAGTTAAGTTAAGTTAAGTTAAGTTGTCACAATCAGGCTTTAAGCCAATTATTGTTTATCTATATACATACATTTGCACACAAGTGAAATGATGAGTTGGTTAACAATGCATTAAAAAGGGGAACAAATTCCATTTATTTAAAGCTGATTTGCCAAAATAGCAAAATTTGCAACTTTAATTATACATTTAATTATTTTAAACTTTTGTAATTAGGAAGTGCCACAAAATATTTGTCCACAAGCATTAAAATGGCTTAGCCAAAATAAAAAAAATATATATCAATGAATAAAAAATTGCAAATATTTTTAAAATCGTAACAGAAAAAAATCAGTAATAATACTGGTTTTAAAAAATTTTTAACCAATGTCACAAAACTCACAAATTTTCAAAAACAAAAATAAAAAATCATAAATCGTACCGCACTTCTTCGCTAAAAAAATCGTAAAATAAAAACATCTATATTAATTTGAAAAAGTAGATATAATTTTCTGCATGCTGAGAAAACAATCCGCTTGCCACTTGCCACTACTATACCGCCGGCCTAAAATACGTTTAAGATGTACTAAAACATAATTACGCTTTCTAAAAATCTAGTAAATGCACTTTTTCTCATTTATCTTCTTTTCCACGCTCCTCTACACTGTAATTACCCCAAGAACCGTTTAACGGTAATATCAAAAATCTAGCGTATCAAACGAGTAAAATCTACTGCTTAGTATGTATTCAATAGCAAATAAATATTTTCTTTCATTGAATATAAAAATTTAAAAAAGGGAAATAAGCAATAAAATTAAGCTATGAACCATATTGAAATAAATTTTAAACTAAAAACTTTGCATTTCTTTTTTCCTTAATAAAACTGTGTATTTGAGTTAATCAGGCACTTAAGTACTTCAAAAACATAAACAAAATCAATCGATTGAAATCAACCGAAAATGTTATCATAAATTCGCGACGTCCAACCATGTTCAGGGTTGTGATTCTGTGAATTTTTCATAAATAGTATATACTTTTCCAATTGCTCAGCTGACGCTGGACCCCAGTTGGACTTTGGTTTTATGGCTCGATTGAATTTCTGTTGAAAACATAAATTCATTACACACATTTTATAAAAATTTTCTGATTATTCAACTAACACAAACCTGCATAAAAGTATTGCCCGGCTGCTTGTAGACGGTATATAAAGCCCAAAAGGGCAGTTGACCCACACCAATGAGCCATATCAGCCAAGCAATATTGTAAATATATTCCGGATACTCCATACCCTTATATTCAAGCGGTTTGTAGTTGATCAGCGTATAGACAAGCACGAGAAACATGAGACCAGGTGTGAAAATGGCCCAACAGATGCGCCAATAGAACCCGGTCTTTAGATTGCACATGAACTCAATGTCCTTGCAGAAGCGTTTGACGCCTATAATTATTGAAAAAAAGACATAGGAATTTAAATACTTTACTAAGCAGAGTCTACACGAAACACACTCACCATAAATCCATGAAATAGTCACAATCTCGCCTATGGCCAAAAAAAGTGCAATGAATGAACAACCAAAGAAATCCACCAAATTCAGTAGATATTGTCCGCCAGGTGTTGTATAGATCAGGCCACAAAGGAAGCTGCAGATTGCGAATCCGATTGTGATTGCCCATTGTGGTATGTGATCAAAACGATCCTTAAATACTGTTATAACACACGAAGACATGCCAATATTACTGCCGATACCTTTGAAGAAGGAATAACCCTATTATTATTCTCCGCTCTAACTTTATCTCCAGCGGTTGTCGAAAGCAATACTTACCTAATACGAGGAGCATGAAGAAGAAGAGCACAGCAAAAAATTGCGGTAAATATTTAAATTTTGCTATAGCTTCTGGATATGAGATGAAAGCCAAGCCTGCACCACCCTTAACCACTTTCGATATATCTGTGTTGTTGGTTTCCAGCGCGAGATTGCCAAGTATGCCGAAGATAACACAACCAGCGAGTATTGAGGTAATGGAGTCTATTGTCGTCACGATCATTACGTCCCTGTGGAATGAAAGAATGAACAAATAATCAAAAGTTCTTTATATTTTTGGGTAATTGGGCACGTTCAGAAGGCGCAACAGCTCAGTAACTGTTTCGATTGCACCTGCTGAACGCGTTGTTTTGTACTTCTGATCAACTGAACAGTTGCGTGTTAGATGATCGTAATATTTTTCTGATCATTTGAGACAACGTGTGGTGTGTTTTGAATTTGACAGCTAATGTATGAAGCCGTTCAGAAGACGCATTACGATCACTGATTTTTTAGCAACGGTTGCGCTCAACTTCTGCGCCTTCTGAACCTACCCATTGAGATCTTAAAAAAAGCGTAAGGAAGCAGAATATTCAACGGTGCCTTTAAGGTTCATCAATCTGAAGTTATATTCGTCTAAGTTTTCTTTTTTTTCGAATATTCAATTGAAACTTTTTAGGGTTAAAGCACCAAATTAAGGACAAAAAAGTTATGATGATTAATGATTTGTGAGACTGATGCTATAGTAATAATAGAAACTCAGAAATTATCTATACCCTAATAGAACATCCATATTTAACTACACACATTCAAAAAATATCGATATTCCTATTAAAATATGACACCTAAATCACTTTTAAAAATCCTTGGAATACCTGAAAATAGTCTTCAACACTTTTTCAATTCTCAAATGTCTTATAAAACAAATATACAGTTTTTTTTGAAGGAATTTCTGTCATAAAAATAAGAGTATATTTTGGCACTTCGACTACTAGAGTCGGCTAGTGGTTTTCAGTGAAAATCGTGATCAGCTCTGTCATTTTGTTAATTTATTTTTCCGTTTGGCAACTTTTTCGATTCGGTGTTACATGTTTCATAAGCAGAGTAGATCGTCGGTTCTAATAGGCCAATACAGGCCAATTTTGATTATACATTAGAAAGTGCTCCGTAAGAGCCTTCATAAGAAAAGGCATCGCTTTTCTGTTTAAACTCAAGAACAATGTTGTGCGTTGCCTGTTATAGGAAGNATAGAAACTCAGAAATTATCTATACCCTAATAGAACATCCATATTTAACTACACACATTCAAAAAATATCGATATTCCTATTAAAATATGACACCTAAATCACTTTTAAAAATCCTTGGAATACCTGAAAATAGTCTTCAACACTTTTTCAATTCTCAAATGTCTTATAAAACAAATATACAGTTTTTTTGAACGAATTTCTATCATAAAAATAAGAGTATATTTTGGCACTTCGACTACTAGAGTCGGCTAGTGGTTTTCAGTGAAAGTCGTGATCAGTACTGTCATTTTGTTAATTTATTTTTCCGTTTGGCAACTTTTTCGATTCGGTATTACATGTTTCATAAGCAGAGTAGATCGTCGGCTCTAATAGGCCAATACAGGCCAATTTTGATTACACATTAGAAAGTGCTCCGTAAGAGCCTTCATATGAAAAGGCATCGCTTTTCTGTTTAAACTCAAGAACAATGTTGTGCGTTGCCTGTTATAGGAAGACCAGGTAAACTTGGAAGTTTCACAAGCCAAAAAGTTGTACCAGCATCCATCAGCTACTAGAATGATGTGATCTCTAACAAACTGTTTCAAAGTTACTATGCTACGGCTACCGTATCCTTTCCGGAAGGTTATCGTAGCTTTTCCAGGCAATTCGTCGCACGACTAGAAATATTGATATGATCGATGGTATTCAGTAAGGGACTTTGTCTAAAGCTTTCGGGGTTGCCTGATTGTCATAGAAGATCACACCTTCTTATAAAACTTGAGCCCAATTTTAACAGTTTCAGAATCTTTTGATCTTTTTGGAGATATTTTCGACCACCTGTTTACATATATAGGGTTGTCGATGGTTTAAAGCTTATTCGCTTAAATACTTCCATTAGAATAGCTTTAGTACTTAGTACAGTACTTCTTCATCTTCTGCAACACCTTTGGAAAGGCATGCCGAGTCTTTCTATATGTTTTCCTATTAGACAGTATCCGGTCAGAGCTCCCGCAATGTTAGATATCTTCACTTCTCAGAGAGTATATTCTTCGTGGCCTTTTCCGATCCCATTCAAACGTCGGCCTGGAAATTCGACAAGTCGTACTTTGACTCCATCTGCCTCCAGCTTGTTTGTACATACTTAAGTTCTTTAAGTAGTAGCTTGCAAGTTGTGCATGGCAACCCTTGCGTTTTTTATCAGGAATAATCTGCTTGGTTGTGCCTTGCCTTGCAAGTTTGCCTACCATAGAGTTTGCTTCTATGTCCCTAAGATCAGAGGCCCAAGCGAGATGAAGTCTGTTCAGCTTGGCCATATCCTACGGCTTAGGTGGCAGTCCAGCGCAATTTTGGAATAAAATGTGAAAGAGCTCAGAGCTTTGATTTCAGCCTGTCTCTTAATAAAAATTAAGATGTCACCATGATAGCTTAGACCGCAGCGTGGAATATGCAGGGCCTGAAATCAAGCTAAGTTTCCGACTGACATCATAAGTAAAATATAAACGTTTTTTCTAATAGCAGTCGCACCCCGGCAGGTAATGGCAAACCTCTGAGTGTATTTCTGCTCCGGAAAACACCTTTTCATAAAAATACAATCGCCGTACGGAGTCGGCGTAAAACTGTAGGTCCCTCCTCTTTGTGTGACATTAAGGCGCACGCCACAAATCGGCGCAGATGCAAATCGGCCAAACGCTAACAGTGATATCTCTCAGCAAAGAGTAGCGAGCGCTTCCGTCGGTTATCCTACCAAATCCAATGGCAGAAAATCTAAAATAGCATTCAGAGCATCGTTTGTGCATATCATACTACACTAGGGATAGGTAAATTCGATATTCGAAGCTTCGATATTCGAATTTTAGCTCCGAAATGGCGAATTTTTGAAATCGAACTTTGTGTTGCTGCAATTCGGATAACATCGAATTTTTCTTAGGGATGCAAGTAAAAAATACATGTTTTCCGATCTGATGCATCGAAACAAAACATCTGTGCCAAGAAGGAACTGTTATTCTTAAATAAAAAAAAAAATAATGTAAAGTATTTTTTTGTTGATTTTTTATTTTAAATTTTTAGAGGCTTTTACGTTAGTAAATAGCACGAAGCTTTTGCCAGAGATGACCCCTAGTAAAATTTTCCGGAGAATAATTTTCTAGAGTATACCAGTCCTCTAACGACCTTCCAAAGTTGCTTTTTGCGGGATTTAATGAAGTAAGGATCAAAATGGCCCTTTTAGGCGGGAGCTAATAGGTTAAAATTATCTACGAAAATATTTCCCATGAAATTTTATTTTATATGTCCTAACCTTTAATTTCGCTCAGATATTTATTTTAACTATTTTTTTGAAAACTACTTAGGCCGAGGCATGAAAACTTTAGTAGGCCATGAAATAAAAATACGAGCTAACTTTCGCAAATCCGCCGAGTGTTTTACTACTGGATTGGTATACTTTCAGAAAATGTTAACAAAGTCCGGGCTGGTTTCGGCTGTCCTACAGTGTAATTTGAGTTTAACTTTTAACTTAACTTTAACTTTTTTTTTTTTATTCTTCAATCACCTCAAAAATATTGTAATTGTTGCATAGTATTTTAAGCACAATACTTCTTTAACTAAATTCGACTTTTCAAACAGGTGGCACCCCTCTTAAATGTTATTAAAAAATAAAGTTCATTTAAAATCATTTCGATTGATACCCATATTGGGGTAATTTATTTAGCTTATTAAATAATTTGATTTTGATTTTCTTACATACATTCATATGGCGCAAAACTAAAACCATATTACACATCTACAGCGCAAGCCTTTTTGAATATCGAACGAACGATACAGATTTTATGACTTGGTTTTAAATATTTAACTCGAAATTTCGAATCGAATAATCGAATGGTTGGGCAATGTTCAAAATTCGGAAAAAATCGAATTTCAACCCCCCACAACCCGTCCCTATACTACACCTTTGCTCTCTGGTGAACAGTCGATTATTCCATACAGGAGAATTCAGTCGTCCAATTAGTGTGATAAAAATTTCAAAAAATTTCATAAATTACTCACTTGTGAACGCGCTTATGAAAATTATTATATGAAGCATACATGATTAGCGTGCCAAAGCAGATGGCTAACGAAAAGAACATCTGTGTAATAGCAGCATACCAAACCTACCATTGAATAAAAATCAAATTAAAACTTAAGTAAACAACTATAATTGACGATACTTACCTCAGGATTAAGTAGCTGATCCCATTGCGGTTTTAGGAAGTAAACTATACCATCCCAGGCGCCAGGCAAAGTTAGTGCGCGCCCGAGTAGAATAAAAAGTACGACATAAGGAAATAAGGCTAGAAAATACGAAGCTTTGCCGGAGCTTTGAATGCCTGAAGAAAAATAAAATTGGAGAAAGCATTAGTAAAGCTCAACACATACATACATACATACATATGTACGTACACGAGTTGTAGTAGAACTTACCTTTAATCAAAGTAACTGCAATCAAAACCCATACCAGAAATAAATAGATCACAAGATCCAAACTTGGCGCCCCGATACCATCTTCAATATTATCCTTTTCGCGCAGCACTACCTTGCTTTAAGTAAGTAAGTAAAACTTAAGTGACTATTTAAGTACATACATGCATATTTATAAATTCATTGTGCCACTCGTACTTACGTGAAATACAACTCTGCTGAGGAGACCAATTTCTCATGAGATGTATTGCCAATTACGCTGGAGTTGTAGGTGGTGATTGACGCACAATTGGCGCCCCATTCCGGCTGACATGTCGCCCAAGGTAGCAATGGCGTGAAGGAGGCGAGTAAGTATTTGATTGTCAGTGCCATAATGGCGGCATAGTAGGTAGTCGCTAATGCTGTAGCGTAAACTTGGCCATACGCAATGCCTGTGGAGTTGGGAATTACGGTTATAATACTTATATCGATACTTTATTTAGTTGTTACTTAAATTAAATATTTTTGTGTACTCATAGAGATTAAGAAGAAATTGAATGATGGAACTTAAAAAAAAATGGAAAATGTTTATTTTACAGTTGTTTGGAGTAAATCAGAAATAGTCGGTGTAAGCGAGGTGAATTTCAGAAGTTTCTCATTTGAGCATAATTGTTTCAATAAACTTTGCCTGTACGAAAAGGACTTTTGAGCCTATCAATCTACCGTTACACACCAAGGTTTGGCCAGAGCTATTACATACTATACATACTCGTATCTTGCACGCTACGGCGGTTCTACTATGCCAACCTTGCAACCAAAAAGGTGCATTCGAAAGAAATTTTTCTGTAGATTACAAGAGTTTTTATGGTTTCAAAATTGATTGCTTTTTGATTGAATGGATCAATTAAAGGCGAACGCGGATACGAAAACGAATATAAAGACGGGGACGAGTAGGAAAACGAATACGAATACGATAACGACTGCGAAGGCAAATGCGGAGGCCAATAGGAAGGCAATGACAAATACGAATAAAAACCACTGCAAAGACCAACCCAAAAGGACTACGAATACAAGAACGAATACGAATATAAAGACGAATTCGGGGAGTAAAACGAATAAGAAACCGAAAAGAATACGTTTACGAAAGTGAAAATCGAATAGGAGGACGAATATAAAGACGAAGACCAAGACTAAAGATGAGGTTAACATTAAACTTAAGATGCATTTCTGCAATATGAAGAGCACTAGAAATTAATGAAAAGAAGTTCCACTTTAGTAGTGTGGTCCAGGCGCAATGGGTTTTGATTTTTTGTTTGTTTTATTTTTTTGTTACCGTTTTATTTTTTTTAAGAAGAGCTTTTTTATTTTCACATTTAGTTTAGTTTCGTGTTTTCGCTTTCAGGTGTTTTTGTTTCTGCATCTTCCAGGAGGGTTGTTATGGTTTCAAAATTGGTTGGCAAATGATTCAGGCTATCATTCGCTTATTCGCCTTTTTCTTTCTTTGAAAAAACCCGGTTCTCTATTTTCGAATTACGAAAAAACCGGTGAACCGGCATTATTTTACATAGTTTTCATACAGTGAGAATGCTTAAATATGTTGCAATGAAGTCATGACTAAAGTTAAAGATACTTAGCATTTATTTAGAACAAAGCAAAGCAAAATAAGTTCAAACTTTTTCTTTAAATCAAAAGTAAAACAAATAAAAATCACTGAAAATTCACGCCTGGTCTCATTTTAAATTTTTTTTTATACTTTATTGCATTTTTTCTGACTGGAATGAACAATCCTCGCATCATTAATTCCAGAAATAACAAAGGCGGTGACGTAGTGATCGATGTCCAGAGTATGAGGGAATACTTTCTTATTCAATTGAATGATAACTGCACAGAAACCAGCAGAAAAGATAAACTCTAGCATCCAGTCGAGGACGAGAATAGCAGTTTCGTGGGTGAGAGGCAACTAGTCTGCCAGAGTTCGGCGTTGAGGAGTTGATAGAGTGCATGAATCATGTTTTGTGAAGGCAGATTCGGATTTCGGCACTCAGGACAGTTGCTATTTCGAAAAGGTGTAGCACTTTGGTTATTCGAAAATACGCATTCCAGCCTTGAAATCCAACAGAGAATCACTCCTGCCAACAATTGTCGTTTTTGGCTGAACAGGCAATTGTGAAGTAAAGCCCATATAAAACCCACTCCCTATCCCCCATCATTCCTGTACTTGTATATGTCGCAGAAGCGTGGTCAGTGTCAAAATTCAATGAGGACAATAATGAGCTCATACTCGGCGATGGCTCATACCGCATACGAAAGAACTTTGGGCTTTGCGAACTTTACAACCACATAGACATAGTGCACGG